TGTTAGTGCAAGCTCGTGATGCAGCGCTGGTCTGTAATCACACTGTTAGTGCAAGCTCGTGATGCAGCGCTGGTCTGTAATCACACTGTTAGTGCAAGCTCGTGATGCAGCGCTGGTCTGTAATCACATGTTAGTGCAAGCTCCCAGTGGCTGTCTAAAGGTGAATATAGGTAGTTGAGGAGTGGACAATCTGGGGAAAGTGGTTGAGTCATATGAAAAGTAAACCTTTAGACTGAGGAGATGGCCCATTTGGTAGGTACCTACCACGCAGGCATGAGGACCTCAGCCAGAGAGGGTGCTGGATTGGAGAAGCCCAGTCTAGGATCTGGAGAGACTAGAGGATTCTGGGATGAGGGGCCTGGGGCAGGATAGCTGGGAGGAGCTTAGCTCAGAAAGGGAATCCATATGTGTGTGACAGCTATAGGCAGAGCAAGAGCTTGAAGGGGGCTTCTGGGTGGGCTGGGCTGTTGGGAGTGAGCGACACTTCCAGATGTGGAGGCCCTGGTGGGATGGACCTACTGTGCTGTTGCCACTGCGTTTGTCTGGCCTGGTCGTCATTTCTGTGTCAAGCTGAGGCAGGACAAAGGGCTGCAGAGTCAGGAGCTACACTGCAAGGGTATGCAGCCCAGGCCATTACAGGCTTAACCAGTGGCTGAGCCCACTCTGTTTCTTCATCTCTAAAATGGGTCAGTAGTGCAATCTCCCCCATCATACAAGGAACACAGAGCTCTTGGCCAAATGTCACAGACAAGGCTCCGTCCTGAACTGTTAGTGAGCCCTTCCCAGCCAGGCTCTCTGCTGCGGGGGGGGGGGGGGGGGGCAGCCCACATCTTTTACTGAAGGACACAACAGGGGTCAGAGACAGCTAAGGTGCTGGAGACAGCGGTCCTGCCCCTCCCCTCTATGAGGCAGGAACCCAGACTGAAGGTCCTTCCACAGCAGAAGCAGAATGCTGGCCCCTGACCTGCTGCCCCACCCTCGAGGCTGCGACCATAAGAGAGGGACTCTTCTTAAGGGAGGACAGGAGAGGGTACAAGCTCCCACCTAGAGGAGCCCACAGTCAAGAAGGCTCCATGAGGAGAGCACACCTCACCCTGTCGTCATCCTCTCAAGGGACCCACTGACCTCCTGCCCTCAGACAAGGGTGTTCCCATCCTCAGCCATGGACGGGAATAAATGCTTCCAGACCTGAGCTCTCCTAGAATCTTCCTTTCAGCCCCTCCTTTCTCGGGAACACTAGGCCTGGAACAGTCAAAACTTACACGAGGACCAGCTGGGTCCAGCCCTGTTAGCATGACCTTTGCCCTCAGTAGCACGGGCAGCAGGCCCCACCTAGGCAAAGGCTTTGGTGGCCGCCACCAGTTGCCTCAGGCTCTAGACAAAGCACTGGTGCATAGATTTGAGTGACCTTGGCATGAGATGCCTGTGCTTGGGGAGCCCTTCCTGGTGCTGTGGCAGTGGGGGGGGGGGTCCCCTGAGGCCCCAGGTCCCCTCTAACCACACTGGGCTTTGACACTGGGACACCTGGTCTCACCTCAGCTATCTCCTTTATTCCAGGGCATGAAGGTTTTCTTCATGGTGGTAGCCGCCCTGTACATTTTGTACCTCCTGTTCTTGGTAGTGCGGGCATGCTCTGAGCTTCGTCACATGCCTTACGTGGGTGAGTGCCTCTCTGAGACGCATGGGCAGCAGCCTTTGGCCCTAGAAAGCCATGAGATGCCTCAGGAAGGATTGGCAATTTGGAAAGAAGCCACAGGGTTGTGAGAACTGCCAGAGACCTATAAGGACCATTAATAATACTGTCCTTGACCAGGGCAAGGCACAAGATTTAGGGTCCTTTGTCTGAAACCACTGTGTTGGGCTCTACTGTGTGTGGTCTGCCCCAGCCACAGTAGAACACGCATGGAGCATGCAATGAAGAGGGCCTGCCCAGGGGTCACTTTGTGTATCGTCTTTCTGTCTTTCAGACTCTGAGGTGAGGTGGACTTTGCTAATGGGAATGTTTCCTTCTTTTTCAGACCTCAGGTTAAAGTTCTTGACCGCATTAACCTTTGTGGTGCTTGTTATTAGGTAAGGCTTTATTGTGTGTAGGTGTGGGCGTGCATGCATGTGTGCATCAGGGTGTGCTTGGGTGTGTATGCATGTGAGTGTCTGAGTGTGTACACATATGTGTTTGGAGCCAGAGAGACAACACGAGTGTCTTCCTCTTTCATTTTATATGAACTAATTCACTAATGCACTGTGTGTGTTGGGGTGGTGCACGTGTGTGGAATGTACCAGAGGAAAAGATGCCGGAGCCTATTCTCTGCTGCTTGCTCCTCCCATGTGCGGTCCATAGACAGAACTCAGGTCGTCAGGCCTGGCCTCAGGCATCTTTTCCTACCAGGTCAGCCCGGTTCTCCATCTTATTTTTTTAGAGATAGGGACTTCACTGGACCCCATGCTCTCTAACAGTTGGACTGGCTGTCCAACAGTCTGCCCACTTCCCAAGGGCTTACAGACGCCCTCCACCACCCAGGCTTTGACCTGGCACTGGGATCTGAACACAGGTCCTCATGTAGACATGACAGGCATGGAGCCTTTCCCCACCCTCAGGACATATTCCCATCCTGCCTGTTAGCTCCTGTGTGGAGTTAATTCAGGGTACTTGTGGCCACACATATCCATGAGCTCAGAGGGCTCCTGATTAAAGTTATTTAACAGCCAGACCATGGTGGCACACACCTTTAATACCAGCATATGGAAGGCAGAAACAGGTGGATCTCTGAGTTCGAGAGAGTATGCTCTCTCAGTCTGCAGAGTACACTCCAGAACAGCCAGGGCTACACAGAGTCACCCTGTCTTAAAACACCAAAACCAAAAACAGTTATTTAATGGTCTAGGTCTTAAGTGTTCCATCCTGAAGGTCCTGGCTGGTGAAGCCGTTAGCCCCACTTTTCCCTCCTCGATCTGAACCCTACCGAACACAAGCAGTCACCCACCTCAAGGACACACATCCTTTGAGGTTACCTGAGGAGTGTCTGGGCCTCAAGACCCTTTTGGTGCTAAAGAGAGAACCCCACATGAGCTGTCAGCAGACATGAATGAGAAGCCGCTGTTGGGCTGTCGGGGCAGGTGGCGGCCATCCACAAAGCCCTCCCCCAGGCAGCTGTATCTTTGAATAAGTTCCAGGGACTGTCAAAGCCTCCAGTGGTGCCCACACTGCTTTTCTAGTTGCTTGAGCAGCATGTAGCAGACATTGTTTTCCCGGGAGCCAGAGTGACCATGGGAGGTGCAGAGGTATGTGTGTAGAATGTCCTGTTAAGTCTTAACGGAGCGAGCACTTCTGTGTCTTTACACCGTGGTTCCCTTTCTCTTTCAGCATCGTCATCCTCTACCTAAGGTTTGGAGCACAAGTGTTGCAAGACAACTTTGTAGCAGAACTGTCGGCTCACTACCAGAACTATATCCTGTCGAGGGGAGCCAGGCCTGCGGGCTGCCCGTGCTCATGGTCAACACCTTAGCTTTGGACATTTACAAGGGATGGGCCAGCCCCTTAGGACCTGTGCTCAGCAGGCCTCAGGCGTGCCTTGCCCCCTTTCGGCTCCCTGTTGGCCCTGGCAGTCCTCCTTGTTAGACAGGAAGCTCACACACAGCAGGGCTGAGTCCGTGCCCAAGGTTAGTCACTGCATAGCCTGGATCCAAACTGCTGACCGCACTGGACCGTTCTCAGTGGGGCAGCCAGTCCTGAGCTGCTTGCTCCCGTGCTCCCTCTAGGAGAGAGAGAGAGAGAGAGAGAGAGAGAGAGAGAGAGAGAGAGAGAGAGAGAGAGAGAGAGAGAGAGAGAGAGAGAGCGCGCGCGGGAGAGACAGAGAGGAGGGGGGAGAGAGAGAGAGAGAGAGAGAGAGAGAGAGAGAGAGAGAGAGAGAGAGAGAGAGAGAGAGAGAGAGAGAGCGCGCGCACCGAGGAACAGGCAGGGATGGTTGGAGTTCTGTGTGCCAGCAGCTCCTTCGAGGCACCATTCAGGTGCAGTCGATGCCAGCGTCACTGATGACAGTTTGGTTCACTCACCCTGGAGCTTGGATTCCCACTGTGCCCAGTCCATACTGTTTCTCCTGGCTTCTGTCGCGCTCAGGTGATGGGAAGCATGTGTGTCTTAGGATTCAGGATGGCTTCTGTCGCGCTCAGGTGATGGGAAGCATGTGTGTCTTAGGATTCAGGATGGCTTCTTTATCACTTGTGATTAAGCTCCACACTGATTTCTTAGGTGCTTGGGGGTCTGTAGTGTGGAGGAGGTGGGATCACTCCGAGCCTGGGTCAGTAGGCCCTCATCCCCTTCCTGTTCTTTGGGAGTTATGTACCATGAAGGGTTCATGTGACATCTAGCCATGAGCTTGAGCTGGGGCATCCTGGCTCCTGGGCCGTGGGCCCCCTAGGCTGGTCAGTAGTTCATCCCAGAAAGAGATTCTGGGGAATAGGGGGAGGAGGCGGAGGCTTGTGTGTCCAAACCCACGCTTCTCCCTTGACCAGCACCACCAGCGGAATTCCTGTCTTTCTACGGCCTGCTGAACTTTTACCTGTACACGCTGGCCTTTGTGTACTCTCCATCCAAGAATGCGCTGTATGGTGAGCCACCTCAGGTCTGGGTCGGTGTCCAGAGAGCTGAAATAGAAATTTCCATTTGCTCTGGTTTTCCCAGGTGCAGGGCTCTGTGACAGAGAGAAGGCAGGTGAATGGCAGCCCGAACAATGGTAGCCTGTGTTCAACACAGCTGAACACGGGACATGGCACTGCTGTGTGTATGATATCACAGCTGATCACAGGACACGGCAGTGCTGTGCCTATGATGTCACAGCTGAACATGGGACACGGCAGTGCTGTGTGTATGATGTCAGTCTCACAGTTGAACACGGGACACGGCAGTGCTGTGTGTATGATGTCATAGTCTCACAGTTGAACACAGGACAGGGCAGTGCTGTGTCTATGGTGTCATAGGCTCACAGCACGTCTCTCTAAGTTTGTTTAGGGCTTGGGTCCTAGTTCCTTCGGATTCCTACCTGGGCTAATAACACAAAATGCTCTCATTCAAAATGCTTTTGTTGATTTTCAGAGTCGCAGCTAAAAGACAACCCTGCCTTTTCCATGCTGAACGACTCTGATGATGATGTGATTTACGGGTAAGTCACAGTCACCGTGCGCCTTCCAGCCTGTCTCTGCTTACTGAAATGACAGCGTTTGGAGACTGTTGCCTGGGAGTGGCGGAGGGAGTTTTATGGCTTTGTTTTGTGTGCTTCGCATGGATTAGTGGCATTCCACTTTGTGGAAGGCCTGCGTGTGTGGTAACTACAGACCAGGTTTGTCTGAACTAATGATGCGGAGAGTCGCGCTGGGGAGAGGGGACAAGTGTCGGGTGACTAAGAGGGAGGCTGTGAGAGGGGTTCTTTCCAGACAGCAGTCAGTGTGACAACAGAGGCAGTCAAGGGCTAACAGACGGGGGCTGGGGAGGTGACTTAGTAAATCCCTGCTATATAAGCCCGAGGACCCCTGTAAAATGCCAGATTTGAGCTGGATGGGGTGGCACACCCTCTTAATCCTAGCACTTAGGAGATAGAAGCAGGAGAATCTTTGAGTTCAAGGCCAACCAAGGTTATGTAGTGAGACCCTGTCTCATAAAACAAAACACAACACAAAGAAAAGTCAGGCCCAGTGCTCAGTGGGTCTACAGTCCCAGCACTGGGGATTGGGGACGCAAGGATCCCTGGAGCTCAGTGACACTCGATTGCCCTCTGCCTTTCCCACACATGCACACACGGGAAAGCCCTCCAGAGGGCAGGTGTCAAAGGTCTCTTCCGTGGCAGGAGCGACTATGAAGAAATGCCTCTCCAGAACGGCCAGGCCATCCGGGCCAAGTACAAGGAGGAGTCGGACAGTGACTGAGCCCCGGCAGCAGGCGGGACAGCACGGGGGCCGGAGGTTTCCCTAGTGACGTGTCCTGGTCCTTCTGCCTGTGTGTGTCTGGACTCTTCCTGGAAGCAAAGGTTTCCTGTTCCTTATTTGTTTACATATTTTTAAAAAGAAAAACCAAAAGGATTGAGATGTGTGGTTGGAGTCTGCTGTTGGGTAGCTCCACTATTCCCCAAGAGGCTGCCTGGTAGCGAACCCAAAGGCAGATCCTTTCACAGAGATACTGGACGAGACAAAGTCTGTGTGCGATCATGAGGAGAAATTACCCATTTTAATAAAAAGAATTATGTACTTTTTCCTCTTAAAAAGCAATTTGCTAACTCTGAGTTGGTGGGAGGCCTGATGACCGAGGTCCCAGCATGGCAGTCTCTTCTCCAGGGCTCCTTTCTGTAGCACTCTACCCTCAGTGTGGAGCTGGGCCCGCACCTGCCTCGGGTGAGCAGACTGCCTCCATCTCCACAGACACGAGTGGTCAGAGCGCTGACTCCCGAGCATCTGGAATGATGGCCTTGATGGCATCTGGTGAGCCATGCACAATGTAGCTGTCAGGAATGGTGGGTAGCTAGGTGGCAGTCCACCACTGCCCCGGAGCAGTTGAGTCAGGGTGTGTGTGTGTGTGCACATGTGGGTGCCAGACTGGAGGAAGCCAAGGTGTCTACAAGTCAGTAGTCCTGTAGGCAAGGTCTTATGCCACGGTGCTTTTGAAGGGTCTGTGTCCAATGTCAGCATACACGATAGGATTGGGTCTTCTCTTCCTGTGGTAAGGATGGAAAACAGGGTGCCCTTCCCAGTCCAAGAGTTTCTGCAACTCCACTGAATTGTGAAACCCCAAAGAGTTCTGGCTTGGTTTTTTTTGTTTTTAATGAAAGCTATGTAAAATACTACTGTATCAGAAATTCTTTATTACCAAAAGTTTTCAGTTTAACATTTGGAACTAAAATGAAGACAAAGTTAAACATTCTGAATGGCTATGGAGACCCCTTCAGATGAAGGAACTTACTTGACGGTCGTTCTGTCCTTGGAGTGTTGCTGTAGAAAAGGGATGTCACCCGCACTAGTGCAGTTCAACACTGGAAGTCCCGTGCGTGTCGCTGTTCTCCATCACACTCCATGGAGCCTCCCACCAACACCTTGGTGAACGCCTGCAAACCCAGAGGCCCAGGAACAGCTGCTCGTGTTCCCTTCATCTATGCACCAACTCAGATTTCTGCTCTGAGCTGCAGGTTACTGCCCAGGGATGCCTGGAGACGTCACTCTGCCTGCCCGTCTTCTTAAACGTCAGTGTACTTTAGTACGGATTCCATGTGCATTGTTTAAAAAGAACCTTACAAATAGGAACATTTGAATGAAAACTCTAGCTGCAAGGTGACAAGTTTACATGATCCTGACACTTGCAGCGCTGTGATCCCCGAGTCGGTGTTCTCAGAGGTTGTTACCAACACCAGCTCCTAACAGACCACTGCAGCTGCTGTCTTCTAGACACTGACTTGTGCTGATTTCAAGACGTTCCAATATGTGATAGTTTACATGCTTTGATCATTATAAAAAATTCTCCATGATTTAGGATGCTGTTTATCAGTGTAAGGTATTTTAAGCATTTATGTAGACTTGTGGACTTTTAATTCTGCCCTGCAGTATAATTATAGACTGATCCTCGTGTCTGTGGAACTAAAATAAGGGAATGATTTTTTTGTTGTTGTTGGAAATAGGAATTACAAAGAAGCACCTAAGGGGAAGTGGTCATGAAACTGTTTTCACACTTTCCTCCCTTGCGTCATGCACAATCATGGATTATAAGCTGTGTAGACTCTGCCTACAGATCTAGAGACTTGGGTGGGCAGACTGAAGCTGTAGGTCTTAGGGTCAAACACTAACCAGAAACTTTTGATAGTAATGAGAAGATTGTTTTGCTCTAAGGGAATTAAAGTTTTATAAATTTAAGTTACGAATTCTAAGAGCTGACAAGTTCTTTCACGGTAATGGTTTGAATATTACTGTCTCTGGGTATTTTTGATATTGGTCCAATCTAAGGGAACCTGGAAAATGAAGAGACGTCTCCCGGCTTCCCCTGAAGGAGCTTCGTTATCCTTGTGGATAGTGAGTCTGCTGGATTTATTGTCGAACCATTGTAGCAGTGACATGGTACCTTCAAATGCCATTTGACTGGCTAGAGGGGATGTGTGAAATACATCTGAGGCTCGCAAGGTGGGTCTCCGTGCAGTTGCGGATTGCAGTGAGTTTACATGTGTGACGCCAACTGCAGAGTTTATAAAACAGACCTCACCAGGCTCAAGAGCTAAGCCACTGAAGACACAGGTATGGTATCAGGTTAGAAGATGGTTACTAACTATACAGAGAACACACCATGAAAGGCAGAATTAGAAGGGCCTTCGCTGAGCGCTCCGTGACGAACAGACCCGACACCTGATGTGTATTTGTACATTTGAGGGTTTAGAAATCCGTTACCTTAGTGGTTAGATTTCTTTTTTGGAGGAATGGGGGAAAGGGGAGAGAGACAACTTTTTTCAGGCCAAAGAGAAACTAATTTAGTCCAACATCTTGCAAAACAGTTTATCTTGGTGTTTTGGGTACTTCTAGGTCTAATACCACCCTACGACACATCCCGGGACACAGAACAGGTGTAATTACATTTTATGACACAGGGTTTTCTGCTACTGAAAAATGCATTTTTTACAAATGTCTATAAATATTTGTTAAGTAAAGATACTAGGTTCTAAGTTCAGAAGGAACACAGGAAATATGGACTAAGTTTGGGTAGAGCAGAGTCACCTGGGTAGTCAGTCAAGGAGTTAATAAATGCTTATTTATAGAAAACTCAATAAAAGTCATGTTTTGGGACTGGCTTCTGTATTAGACCTTTTGTTGCTGTGACAGACCTGATAAACGGCTCACAGGACAGTTAGTCCAGTTCATGAGTGGTTAGCTCACTCCACCATAGGCCCATGATGAACACGGTGCCAAGAGTATGTGGCAAAGTGGCTCACTTCCTGGTGCCCAGGAGGCAAAGAGGGTGACAGGATGGGACCAGAGGCCTTGCCCCAGGGACATGCTTTCTTCAGCGGTCTCTACCTCTAAAGTCTCCAGAACCTCCCCAAATAGCACTCCAGCACAGGCGCCTGTAAGGGCCATTCCACATCCAAACCGTAGCAGCTTCATGCTGACAGTGGTGTATTTCAGACTTTTCACCTTTTATGTATTACTTGCTTTTTACACGAGTGCTTTACAAAGAGTCTTCAGCTTGGGGCACTGAGAGACAGCTGAGGGTAAGGTGCTTGTGACTTTGGATCCAGTTTCCATGTAGAAGTGGGCACAGTGGTATGTGTCTGTAACCCAGGCTGGGAAAGCAGAGCAGAGGCCGGTGGCTCCTGGGCCTTGGTGGCAGCCAATCTAGTCAAACAGTGAGACAATGAGCTGGAATCGGACAAGCATAGAAGACACACTTGTGAGTGTGCGCTCCTACAGACCACGCACGCACACACCAAGCAAGTGGTAGTGCCCATCATAGTGTCTAATGTGGCCCACAGGAACCCCAGAGCGGTCAGCAGACAACCTGGTCTTTGGGGTCCCTCACTATGATTTGTGATTTGGAATTAATTGGACAGGCTGCAAGCCCTTTGTGATACCCAGGCAACTGCATTACGTGTGACCAGAGTAATTCTGAAAGTCTCTTGTCAGCCGTGTACTAAACACACGGCTGCTAGTGAAAATTCAACAACATGGGATTAAAAGGTGCAGTGTACCGCGCTGAGCCAAGCATGCAGGAGTTGGGGCTCACTGGCTCGTCCAACTTCTACCCTTTCACTTCCAGAAAGCAGGAACTAGGCATGGAGGATCCCACATGGCTGGGCTCCTGCTCCCACAGGTAAAACCAGCACACTTCCGTTCTGGAGGGCTAAGGCAGAGCTGCAATCTCCCCCTTGACTAAGATATTTTATGTTTACCATGTTGCCAGGCAAAGAATCCAAGGTTTTTTTCTATGCTTTTTTTTGCTTCCTGGTTTGTATCACCTGAGATGGCTCAGCAGGTGAAGGTCCTGCCCACCAAGCCTGCCTACCCGAGTTCTATCCCTGGGGCCCAGGGACGGAGAAAGAACCAACTCCCACAAGTGTATAACGGCGCTCGTGGTCTCACTCACTGTCACAAATAATAATGTAACTTAGAAATGAAACAACCAAACTGCGGGGGAGAGACGTCTGCCATCGTTCCAGGCCTCCGAGGGAGGCTCATCTTGTCACGTGTGTCCAACCTGCCTCTGAGGTTCACGGCCTCTCCGGCTCCGCCAGTGTCACCAGGTCTCACCAATCACAGTAAAAGACAGGCCCGTGACCTGTTCTGAGCCCGTCAGCCAGGGCAGGGTGTTCACCGACACTCTATGTCAGCGTGCAAAGGGCTGAAAGCAACCTTTAAAAAAAATACTTCTGAAGGCAGCAACATAGATTCATGTGTGATGCCCCAGACCACAAAACACCAAACTTTAATTTTGAATAATTTATTATTCTAACAAAAGTATAAAGTATGGAAAATTAGTGTATCTGAATCATTTCAGAAAGTAGAGAAAGATTCCTCCTAGCAGACTTCGGTTCTTAGCACCTTGAAAAGAAAGAGTTAAGACAAGCGGTGCTACCAGCCTCAGGTGACAGCTGGTGGCTCATCTGCCTGAAGCCGTGCGGGGCCTGTGACCGTGGAGTCATTTTTTTTTTTCTCTATGTTTCGAGTGCCACAAAACACAAAGAGGAGGAAGACGTTCACGCAATCCCTAGCTGGTGTTAAGATGAAGGAGAGATGTTGAGACACCGGAGGCGGCAGGCTGGCAAGGAGGTCAGATGGACAGTCCGAAGGCACTGACGATACAGTACATGGTCTTGTTCTCCCATCGGACTGTGCAGCTCCCTGCAGGGAAGACACACAGAGAAAGTGACTTCATTTACAGATAAATGGGCAAGTGTCTACAGGATGTTTGGGTAGGGGCTCACTATGCAATCCGGGGTAGTCTCAAATTCTCGGAGATCTGCCTGCCTCTGCCTCTCTAGATCTAGGATTAAAGGTGTGCACCTCTATGCCAGGCAGTGCTAACTTTTACAGAGATGCACGGAGAATGTGAGACACCTAAGCGCGCACTTCACAGAACACTGCTCTGGACCACAGAGCTATGGAAAAGTTGAGGAGCAATGGGTATAACATTTCCCAAGAGGGCGAAAATCCTACCGTCAGTAGAGCTGTCCCAGAAGCAGGAACTCGCGGTGTGTAACCCGGCCCCATTCTTCTGCATGATCACACAGGTCACTTAGATTAAACAAACTTGTGTTAGAAACCTTGGCAACGTAAGTTCACTTTGCCTGCTTTAAATGTAGGTAAATCACACGGCTGATGTTCCTGCATTATAGATACTACCTATCTATGTTTCCTTTATCTTAACATCTAAAAATGTCTGACCAGAAATGCTGTAAGTGCCTGTTTGACAGAAGTCCCACAACAGTGGCATCAGCCTGATGGACGAAGTGCAGGGCTCATTCACTACACAGGAGACCTGGCCCTGAAGTTCAGGAACTTTCTTTGAGCTTAGGCAACAAATTGCTACACCTCTCAAAACACACAAGAAGAAGATCCATTACCGATGTATTTAAATGGCTTCCCCAGCTTGGTGAGTTGGCTCAGAGTCTGCTCCACGACATTTGTGGTCCACTGATTGACTTTGCTGTGCTGGTAGGCATTGCCGCCGATGGCACTTTCTATAGCCTAGGGAAGAGACACAGACAGAGTCCAGAAACCACACCCTCCAGTCAACCGACATGGCCCGCGGTCCACCTAGCAGCTAAAGACAGACCCGGGGAAGACGCGTGCTTATGCTTAATCTTGGGGCTCCTTTGCATGCGTGGCTTCCTTCAGCATCACACTGCATTCCAGTTATGTTTGCACTGGCTGAAGATCTGTGTTTTACAGAATCTGTCAAACGTGTTCAACATTTTGACTAAACAAACAGATTGACTGTTCAGCTACTGCTAATATCCTAGATAAGCAACACGTTTTCTTATAGAGGTTGAAAAACATTTTATTTTGCCAATTTCTTTATAAAGTATACCAGACATTTTTATCAAACCATAAAATACGCAATCTAGTAGTGTATGTTAGATGACATTTTACTGGCTGTATAGCTGGCAATATACAGCCGATCCAGTCCTCTAGTGCTTTTTGCCCTCATTCTATGGGTCACGTCACACACGCACTGCCCAGACTTTCACATCCCAACACTTGAGCTGTGGTGGCATTTCCCCCATGCTCCAGGGCTTCTGCAGTGTCCTCACTGTCCTATCCCTGCTTCCCATCCAGTGACCCCTGGGTCTTTTCCCAGTAGCCCCACTCCAGACGCCAGTGCAGCCCCTAGCAGCTCCCTCCCCGCCACTTCTAATCTACATTCACTAAGGGCCATGGCTTGTTTTTAGACACAGGCTCGGGGGCCCTCACTGCACAGTGGTGAAGGAGCAGGGTCAGACACTGCAGGCTAAGTGCAGCAACTGGTCTTCTCAGGATGAAAACCGACATCATAGACGCCATGACTTCCAGCTGCAGACTTGGGGCTCTCTCCAGTCACGTTAACACAGCCCCTAGTTGCCCCATAGCCCACTCTAGGCTGAGAACACACTGCGGGCTAAGGACCAGTGAGTGGTCAGGGTATTGCCAGATGCAAATACTGCCCAGGAAGAAGGGCAACCACTATGCACTGTGGAATTCAGTTTCTAGGGAGAAAGGAAACCTCTAGCTTTGGAGCCACTCAACCCCCCCCCCCGACTTTTAAACAGCCCGAGGGCAGGACAAGTCTAAAGACTGTCACCTCACACTCCCCTTGGACCACTAATGTGTGCTTTAAACCACTTGTGGCCTGGGCACTGAGTCCCAGTGGATGCAGAAGACAAGAGGCAGAAGTCG